CTTGGACATTGAGCCATTGACCACAACGCTCTGAGTGCAGCCGACTAGCCAATTCCTTATCCAGCAAGTGGTCCTTCTGTCAAATCCATGCCCCTCCAACTTAGAGACAAGGATGTCATGTGGGACTGTGTCAAAGGCTTTGCACAAGTCCAGGTAGATGATATCAGTTGCCCTTCCTCTGTCCACCAGCGCTGTGGCCCTGTCGTAGAAGGCCACCAAATTTGTCAGGCACGATTTTCCTGTGGTAAAGCCGTGTTGGTTATCATCAATAACCTGCTTGTTTTCCATGTGCCTTAGCATAGATTTCAGGAGGATTTGCTCCATGATCTTGCCAGGCACAGAGGTGAGACTGACCCGCCTGTAGTTTCCCGGGTCTTCTTTATTTCCTTTTTTAAGTAGTGTTGATCTCCTGGCATTGTGTTGTCCTGGGGATCAGAATGGGTTTTTTGTTTTTAACCTGTAAATGTATAATTGTACATGGGGTTGGAGAAACTTTTGCATTTATTTTTAGCTAGTGACTGAAGAAAAATTCCAGAATAGATGTATTTTTGAACTTGGATCTCATCATAGCAGCTTTCTGCTAAAGAAAAACAAAAAATATTTGAGCTTTTCTGACTGTATTATGTCAAACCCTACACTAGCCTCTCTAGATACTAATTTTTATTGCTTCATCTCCCAAATGATTCAGCCTGTTTGCCAACCAATCATGCGAAGAGCTATGCAAGAGTGCCCCATACGCACGTCCCTTGACTTGGAGCTGGACCTCCAGGCATCACGCACAAGACAGAATCGTCTGAATGATGAGCTTCAGGTCTTGCGGGATCTTAAACAAAAGCTTGAGGAAATGAAAGGCAGAGGAGAGACAGACCTTCCCCTGTGTGTGCTAGAGGATGAACGCTTCCAGAAACTCTTGAAACAAGCTGAAAAACAGGTATGAGCAGCATACAGATACTGTGTGAATTAATATGCATATGGCCCTCCCTTGTCTATAAATCCATTAAAGAATTCAGTCTGTCATGTTAAAGATTTTTACAGAAGCTCACATTTGACTAATTATACCTCTGAATTACATAGTATAAACAATATTTATTAGTCAATACTACAGCATTTAAACCTAGAATTTGAGGCAGTGTTTTTCTAGTGCCTTCTAAATACTTCAGTAATTACGAGTAGATACTCTTGTTATTTGGAGTAAGAGTTGTGGTTGATGTAGTAAAAATAGTATAGACATTTACTTAAAAGTTAATTTAAAACCCTGCCGTCCCAGCCATACTTCCACAGACATGCCTATGCTTTTTGTCCTTCAGCGTCAGTTGATCTGCAGTCTGCACAGAACTTGTAGCCAAAAGATCTTTGTAACGGGTAGAGAGAGGCAATGAGCATTACTGATAGTCGTATGGGCAGATGGGAAAGGCAGTTCCACAGTTCTGCTGTGGCTTATTTCCTTATGCAGGATGTTCTAGTTTTAGCAAGGGAAAGCCAAATTCTGTTCTCCATGTGATGATCTCTAAAATAATAGAAGTATATATGCATTGTCTCTAAACTGCCATAAGGTAAGATGGGATGCCCTCATGTGGATGAAAGACAAGAAACAGCATAGAAGGGATGAGAGCAAACAGTTACAATTTGGAACATGGAAAATTCCGACAAGATGCATGAAAACACTGGATGTTGTGGGGGTTTTGTTTTGGTGAGATTGTTTGTTTTTATAAATTGTGAGGGTGATCATACACTGGAATAGGGGCCTAGAGAGGGTGTTAGGGGAAGGAAAAAACCCAACCAAACAAAAAAAGCCTCAACCTCCACAGCTGGAGATAATTGGAACCTAACTGGACAAGACCCTGAGTACCCAGCTCTGGCTTCACCTGCTTTGAGGAGGAGGTTGGAGCAGATGCCCTCTGGAGCCCCCTTCCCATCTATGTCAGTCAATGTATGTCAGTTTTTGATGAGGGGAGGTTGCTAGTGGCATCCAGGAGAAATTTGTGCTCTCCAGCTATTTATGGTTGATAGAGATGAGTGTTTTGATGACACCCAAGTTATTTAGAGTCACAAAAATGGAAAGCAATTTTAACAAGGTGCAAAGGACCTGCTAATATATAACCAACAGTTGTTTGGGTTTTTCTGGTTTGTTTTTTTTTTCAGTGTTTTGGGTTTTTTTTGTTTTTGTTCGGGTTTTTTTTAAGCTAAAATGTCAGTAAATAGCTTTTGTAGGAGGAGGGAAGGGATGATCCTCATCTTTACATATGCAAAGCTGACCTCTGAATTAGATGTCAGGAATGAGATACTCCGGATATAAGAAACAAAAACATCAGCAAAAACATCACAGCACTAAACAAATGTCAAAAGGCAAATGTGACAGGAATTACTAAGAAAGGAAGCTGGAATAAAACAAATCATTGCTTTATGATATAAATACATGTTATACCTGTAATTTGAACATTGTTCAGTTCTGGTTCCCCTTCTCAAAGTAGATAGTAAAACTAGACAGGGTCGACAAGGAAGGTCAAAGGAAGAAACTGCTTCCATGTTAGGAGTGACTAAGTAGTTACAACTGAAGTCTATAAAATCGTAAGTGAAGTGGAGGAGAGAAATTAATCATTGTCTTTGATAATACACGACATAGGAAATTGAAGAGATGACAGTTTAAAGGCAAGCCAGCATAGCATAACATTTACAAACAATGTTTTCCACAGAACATTGTGAGTGCTGCAAGTCTGCATAGGTTCAAAAAGCAGTTTGATACATTCATGGAAGAAGAATCCATCAGAGGTCATTAATCATAATGATACCACCTACTTCAAGAAGTCCTTGACCATCAGATAGCTTAGAACACAAAACTTTCTCCCAATATGTTCTCCCAGCTCTTTATTAATGCCCTGTTCTGTCCTCTCTGTCTTCCTGTCTCTCTTTCCTTGTCATTTGCTGTTGGCTATAGCTAGTGGAGTTCTAAAATGACTACAAAATACTAGCAGAGTTTAGGTTGAGCATTGACAAGTGTTTTGAAAAACCCTTGGGCAAAATGGGATAAGACGACACAATCCTTAAACATCACACAATGTAACTACATTTTTTTACCATGTGAATTCATTGTATGAATTTGATCTTTCAAAGTTCTAACACATAAAGATAGTGGCTTACAGAAAAGAAGCACAGCTAAATGTATTTAGGAGTTCATAGTTTAATGCTGGATGCAGGATAGAAATTATAATTTTAAATTGTCTATTTAATTTAAAACCACTCCCCCTCTAAAGCTATTCCCACTAGAATAGAGTATGCCTCTGCAACATTTAATATTCTAAATCCTTTGGATTTGTGTTTTCTTATTTCAGCTGGTTCTTTCAAGGCAGCAGATAGGTTTGTCATATTTTGTATCTCTGGTGTCAGTGATCAGCACCGTGACACACACGGTTCCTAAAATATATGCAGGCTGCAGTGCAGCATTCAAGTCCTTCTTTCCAAGCTAAAAGTTAGAACAATGATCACAGCCACTCCACCTCTTTGAAGAGCACTTAGAAAGTTTCTAGAAATACTTCTACCCATAAAATCATTGCAGCCTTCCCCTGTGGAACAAAACAACCCTGAGAATGCTATACTCTGCTGTCAGTGTTTCCTCTTGGGTTAGCAAAACACAGCAGCCTAGAGAACATTGTCATAGATTATTTTTTAGATCCTGCAGGCATTATAATGGCACAGACTTATGCAGCAGCTGGAAGTGCCAGAAAAACTGAGTGAGTCTCAAGTGAAAAATGAAACTGCAGATGTGGGGGATGTTGAAAATCAATGGCTGCTTGCTAGCACACAGTTACTCTGTTTGAAGCCAAATACACGGACTCCATACTTTCCTTCCCCTTCCTACCACACCTTCTTAAGTACAGCAAGTACATAAAGCCCACTAATACCTGCGGATAAGAAAACAGTAGGTAATTCCGTGAACCAGAAGCATTTTCTCTTGTTTAGTTGCATGTTTGTGAGAAATCATGCAGTATTTCAAAGTTTGAGTCTTAAATCCTCATTGAAGTTTTCAGACACCTAGTGTCATCTTAAGTATTTCCTCTTTGAGTATGTCCAAAAAAGATTCCTGTAAATGTCATCTATATTTCTTTTCAGTACATCTTCTATGTAGAGGTAATCTGTAATCATGTCATTAATACCACAAATATGTCCTTGTTCCAGTGTTTTGGTGTTCAGCACAGTTAACAGCTTTTCTTTAGATTCACTTTCATTATTCTATACAAAAACCACTGAACAAGACAGGAATTACTGTTTCAGCTTTAATTTTGATAGTGTTTCTTCTTTGTTCATATACAGAGATTCCTATCTGGCACTTATTTTTGGCAGATAAGTGACAGATTTTTTGGCACTTACTAAATGTATGGCCAATGTACGTGTGCTTTTCTGTATTTTATGTGATGGAGGATTCACTATCTTTATAATTCAGTCAAGAAACATGAAGTAAATATAAACCTGCTCACATACTTACCTTGTCACATGCATACTCTGATTTCAGCCCAATGTCTCTAAAAGTTTACTTGAGAGCATCCTGAAAAAATAAAATAATTTTAAAATGAAAAAGGGGTACATAGTGATGGAGAGTATTAAAACAAAGAAGTCATGTATGCTGTTAACCTGAAATGCAGTAGTCACAAGCATCTCGTGTACAGTTAGGGAAAAGATAAAATTAGAACATTTTGAAATATTTTATGTTTAGTGCTTTGATGATAAATATTAACTAGGGGAGCTGATAAAACATACAATCAGTGATATATGTAAATTAATACACTACCAGTTGTAGGTTGCAAATTTATATTCACTAACTAATAAGGAAAACAGCATTTATAGGTTAATTTCATTTTTAAATCATAGCTATTTTGGAGTTGAGGACTGAAGTTCACAGCTGTACAAGCTGACTGGATTTCGAGTGAGTTTTTGAAAGGGTGGTGTTCTTGCATGTAAAACACTTTCATATAAAACACTGGAGTGTGTTTCCACAGACAGAGGATACCACTATCCTGCTGTGAATGGATTTCCATAAATACCCAATATGAAACTGATAGTATGGACTAACTTTTTTGAATTAGTTGGTTTTGTTGTTTGGGAGTTTACTGGGTTGAATTCAGAACTGGGGACGTGAACTCCTAAGTTGTAAACCAACTTTGAAGATTGCTGTTTCTGGCTTGGGTGTGTGTTTTAATTTGAGGTAACAGAACAGCATTTTCAAGTCTGAGTGCCTAAAGTTAAGCATGAAAAATTAACTTAAAGAACTTTTAAAATTGTTTAAGAATGTGAACTGCTTCTGTTAAATTTTGATGGCTAGCAACATTCAAAATGCAGTAAATAACATTTGTCTGACGGTCCCTGCAGTCTAGAAATGAAGCAAAGTGCACATACAAGGTGGCATTGCCCATGCTGTGCACCCCACACATGACGGGGGTGATAATGCATCCATTACAGGACTCATCTGCATATGAACGGTAGCCATTTCTCTAATGACTGCCCACCTAAAAAGAGCTGCTGTTCAAGTTATTGGGCATTCAGAAACCCTTGATAAAGTATTTTAAAAAAAACAAAACACAACTCTTAATAGAAGTCTGTCACTGAAATGGTGGATGGTACAGCTGTGATTGTCCTGTTGATGCAGCGGTGCTTGGTAAAGATATATGTGACAGAGTCAACAACACTGAGGTACAGAAATACTGTAACTTACTGTTGGGTGTGCAGCTGCTCAACAATGTTCAGATCAAAAATGATCCTTGATCTCTTGTCACCACTGGTGTTCTGTTCACTTGCCTTGGCTTTTACACTGCTACAATGCAAATGAAAGAAGTGAGTCTCACATTCAAAACAGGTGTCATGTCATGAATAAAACCACAGAAGTTCATTAATATTAACTTTGCTAACAAGGTCAACAAAAGCTGAAAGTGTATTTTGAGAGCACACCTCTATTTTTTTTTTTCTGTCATTTTTTTTAGATTGGGTATAGGCAACTTTCCTGAGAGCTTTCATTGGGAAACTAAAGTATTTGACCTGGGAAGAGAATCACTGTCTCCCAGTTTGAAAAAGATACTTGGATAGGTATTGTCTAACTATAGCCTTAAGAAATATCTCGTCAACTTTACAACACCTAGTTGCCCCCTGTGATGGCATGAGTTTTGTTCTATTTACTTTTTTAGGAAAAGCTCTGTTATCTTATTTCTTGCCCATGGCTTAGGCTTGGGATGTCATTCTTTTGTCTTGCTGACCCTTTGTATAGAGATTTTCATAGAATCATTTAGGTTGGAAAAGATCATCAAGTCTAACTGTAAACCTAACACTGCCAAGTGTTTTGATGACACAGAAGATTTTGTCATTTCTTTGACAAGAGTAGTTGTTAGTTATTAGCGAAACATAGTTATTTTCCTCTTTACAGGCTGAACAGTCAAAGGAAGAACAGAAACAAGGTTTAAGTGCTGAGAAATTGATGAGGAAAGCTTCTAAGGATGTATGCCGGTTACGGGAGCAGAGCCAGAAAGTGCCACTGCAGGTGCAGTCATTCAGGTATGAATTTTAATGCCCTTTTTAGTGTAGTGAAGTAATATGAATGATTTCTAAATACAGTCAGGCATGCCCTGCAATATTAGTCAAAAATCCACATGCCTTTGAATTGCAGGAAACATCATACCTTTCTAACATAGCTCAATGTTGGTGTTTCAAAGGACTGGGCCTCAGGAGCTTGCTCATGTGGCAGAAGTGGCAGTATGTCAGCTGAGCTGTGGTGGTGGTAAGGAAGCAGAGGGAAAAGTCTGAGACCACTATGTGGCATCTGCTGTGGGCAAGCACATGTGTGACCACTGCCACAGCTCACCTCACCCACAGGAGATTGACAGTGGGCTTTAAGTAATGGGATCTTTTCCAGCGACGGCAGGTGCTTGAAGCAAATTGCCCCTCAAGGAGAAATAAAACTCTATACATCTCACCAGGAAACTGATTAACTACTACCTGTGCCTTGCTCAAGACTTATTATTCAAGGGAGATCTTGAATCCCTCCTCCTTTGTGTTTCCCTCCTCCTTTTGGTTGCAGGAACAGCAACCTATTACATGAAGCAATTAATCAAGTGTTCTTGCTTGCTGAATTCCTGTGTAGGAAATACACACAAGAAGATTTTTTTCCTTTTTCAACTCGGTCTATAGTGAGCAGCTTGAGAAGTCCATAAGCAAATAGGGGCTTGTGAGGTACACTTTGCAAACCACAAGTGTAAGTGATGCAGAAACAAAAGCAAGAGAGAAAGGAAGGGGGTTCCTCAGGAAAGAAGTGCTACAGCTGAGCTGCTTATCTTCAGTATGAAACTCAGAGCATCTCCAAACCATTTTCACTTTCTGTGCACGTCTTAGAGTTTTGGGCAGTGCTGGTTATTTAACAGTCATCACAGACTGCTGCACAAAAGTATCATCTAATCATCTTTATCATCTAATCAACATGCAATTAGCCAAGGAATCCAGTTTACATAGTTGATTTTGCTTTGAGATACTGTTTTTGATGGGAACTCAAGCTTCGCCACTGGAAAACGGTTTAGTCTACTGGACAAATATTTACCTTCTAAGGCTTAATCGTACTTCCCCTGCTAGTTGGACTTGTCACAGTGCTTTGGCCTTAAGGATTAATCACACAGAGGCATTTTTGAAGCTCTCAAGAATGACTCTTCTGAGCTTTAATTTTAAAGCCCCCAATACTTACCATCTGCTTTCTAGGCTGCTGGCAGACAAGCTTGTGTAAACTTGTTATGCTTCAGTAATCTCAGTTCATAGGAGACAGAAATGGTAACAGCACAGGGGAAGCAACTAGAGAAGGGGTTGACAATTCTGCTTCTCTGAGTCTTGCCCAGACCCAATTACTTTTTTTCCCCTTCCTTTTCCCAAGTCAGGGTAAAATGTTTTATTTTGCCTTTTCATCCCCCCCACTGAAATATCATAGGAAATTCAGTGACTAGATCAGTATTTCAGTCTCATCACTGGAGTTATTAATGAAATATCGATTTTTTTCTTTTTCAAAATTGGAGCAGCTTTTTACATAAATCTCCCTGAGAAGGCAATTATGTCAGAATGCTCCAGCAACCACATTTATTGTAAATAAATGCACTCTGTAGTTCTCTCACTGTATATTTTCCAAACCTATATTTTAAAGAACTATGCTGTAACATTAGCAACTGTACAGCAGATGACATTGGAGTCATGCCATAAATAGTAAAATAACTTGTTTTCTAATTTCAGGGAGAAGATAGCATACTTCACAAGAGCAAAGATCAGTATACCAAGCCTTCCAGCTGATGATGTATAATTATGTATTTTCATAGAAGTGTTTTTCCACTTGCTCATCTCCTTTCAGATGAACTTTGTAGTTCCAGTGACCTGCTTTTAAAGATCTTCTATTTTACATTCACTATTGATATGTTATGTGTAAAATACAGTGAATTGAATTGTTGTATGTTTAAAAAATGGCAAAACCCCCCAACAACGAGAAAACCAAAGTAGGTTAATTTTGGTATGCTGATTTTGTACAGTTTGTATGTATTGCATGTGTTTTTATTTTGTAAAGATGGAACAAAGGCAGTACTAAACATGTATCCTGTTGAACCGCATTGTGTTGAGAAATATTACGTTCAACAGAAGATTGTTTATCTTTTCACTATTTTCATGTGAGCAGACTGTGAAGATGGCTGTTTTGCCATGCAATATTTTTGTACAAGAGTGTGACTTTTATAGTTTAAAGTTAACCACAAGCATAAGCTTCTTTCCAAAACACCAAGGCTGCCTCACAATAGCTGCTAATTAGATTCGTCACACACATTGGAATTTTGTTTCTGAAATCAAATTTCTTCCATTTTTGTTTTTCAGTACTTTGTAGGAAGAGACAGAGTTCAGAGTTTAGTTTTGTGAATGTACAGTACTTTAACCTGCACTAAAAGGTTTCTTGCATCTGCAGGAGTGTAGGAAAGGCAAGGCAGACAAGTAACCCTAAAAACTTATGAGACTACCAAAAGGGGCAACTGCTTTCTGACCTGGAAGCTGAATCAAATCCATAATACCAGCATTAAAATTTGAATAGTTATATCCACTGTATACTTAAAAATTAGTTTCTCTGTGTTAATCTTTTGTCCTAGAGGCTGTCTTATTGCCAACTAGGAATACATAAAAGTGTTTGTTAGGTTTACAAATGTGAAGATGTTTTCATCCAAAAGAAAAACCTGTCACATAGTAACTCAGGTATGACAAGTCTTGCTGTTAAAGCAAACCCTTTCCAAAAAAAGAAAAGTTCCTGACTATAAGTCTTCACATATTTCAGTACAATAAATAACATTTTTAAAAATATGCACTTGATCCTGTATGCAGTTGAGGGTACACAGGTTCAACAAACAGACATGAATGGCGTGGTGCAAATTTGTCTTACATGAAGCAACCTGCTACGAAGAAGCATCAATTTGGATTCATTATGTAAGAAGTCCAGAACAGTAAATCTCTCTCTTATCCCTTCCTGGGCTGGATGGGGAAGGGGGGCTCTGCCAGCCCCTCCCAGGAGTCCCCCCAGCTGCTCCCCAACCCAGGCGCTGACAGCATCGACCACGGGTTATGGGGCATGTGGATGCCCTGTCTTGGTAAAACAGTTGGGGTCTTATATTCTGTGGGTACTGTGTAAGTAGGTAGACACTGCAGACAGATAACAATTATTTCATTTTCTACTTAATGTGTTGCACTCAGATGTATTTAAGTCACTGGCGGATGTTTTCTTCCCCAAACAAGCCACATATGCATCAACTTCATCTTTCAAAAAGGCTATAATTACTTGTTGAGAAAATGGAAGTAAATATAATGACAGTATGGTAGCAGCTGTCTTAAATGCAAAGTGACAATTGTGTGATGAGAGGTCTGTGTAACACCCAAGGGTTTTCTTAGGTTTATTTCTTATACATCAGTTCACCTAAATGTATAGCCTAACATGCTATTTTGGGCAAGATGACTGACTGAACATCCTCTATGAATGCCCCATTTGTTTTTTGTTTTCATGTTTGAAAGGTCAATTTAAAAAAAAACAAAAAATCTAGAATTATTTCATGTAGGGATGAAATGAAGGTTGACAGTTTCAACTTCTCAATTTGATTATGTAAGTTGTTTGTAGAAAGATGTTTAGAGGTGTACTTTATGATTTTTCTTTTATTTATTTACAGTCTTATTTATGTTCAGTTTAATATAGTTCAGTTCTGGCCATAAAAATATTTGACATTAAGGATGCTATTGTGAAAAATAGAGCTAAGTCCTTGCCCCATTAGCTGCTTCTCCTCATGTACTGAAACATAAGTATTATTAACTGATTTGTAAGCATGAGATGAGGTCAAAATTAAAGTATTGCTGGCTTTAGTTTGCAAAACTCATTTAACAATGAGAGACTTAAGCATATTCATGCTCCTCGTTTTCCAAATTGGTAAAGTTGAACATATTTATAGGTAGCTTTTAACAATTCGGAGTGTTGGAGGTTTTTTACTAATTCAGGTTATTCACACTTGAAACTCAATAGAATAAGCTGAAAAAAATGCATCCCAATAAACCCCCATCAGTCTAAAATTATAAATATTACTCTAGAAATGGAATTTACTCTACACAGCAGGATATAACAAATTTAATTAGTTCTATTTCCAGGTACCAATGTCATTGCAGTTGTATATATCAAAATCTAAATATTACTGTTTCACGAATATTTAGCCAAATGAGTAAAGTTTATCAGAAATTGTAATAGAACATAAATCAAACAACTTTTTTTTTTACTATTGCTATGTTTATACTGTATTAAATAACAAATGCTCAGGACTGAACTAAATATTTAATCAGGTTATATTCTGAATGTGTTTCTGTTCTAATTTTGTCTGTAAAAGTATGCAAATACATCACAGACTAACTTGTCTCTGCACTTTCCATGTGTTTCAGTGATTGGAAAATACATTTTTTTAACAAAGCTCTTTTCCAGGCCAGTGCTTTATTTAATTCTTTTATTGCTGTTCTAGTCTTTATATGCTCTTTGCAGAAACAGATGGCTGCTACAGCTTTGTCAATGTAAAATTATGGCAATTTATAGAAAGTTCACATCAATCACTGACAAGTCTTACTATGAGTTATACAAAAAGCAATTGATGTACTTGAAGTCAGTTCTTTACATTCATTAAGTATTAACTGCAATAGTTGGTCAACACTCCACTGGAGTGCGATGTTTGGGGAATAGGGAGGTAGTGTGGTAAAGCAGTAGCTGAAGGGTGTGGCCACAGCTGGGCTCACTTTTCATTAGTTTTGGTGGGGGGTTTTTGGGGGGTTTTTTTTGTTTTGTTTTGTTTTAAGAAAAGTATATACTTTGCTTTCCATCAGTATGCTAAAGAATTACAGCAGTTCTGCTAATTTTGGCATCTCCATTTTTAAACAATAAGTTTTAATGCCACATTGATACATTAAAGCAAATGAAGCTGTGTGCTTTGTGGCCAGATAAATATCATTTGTTTAAAGTCAAAGGCTAAGTGTTTAGAACAGGTTGCTGTAAGTGAATAGAGCTTAAGGAACCTTCCATAGGATGCATAATGCCTCAATACCTGTGTCAGAAGAAGACAGTGGTAGTATTTTTTAAAGCAGCATTTCTCAGCCTATTTTTAGTGCATAAAGTATGCAGGTGCCAGAAACACTTTGAATAACTTGTATTGGGCAGCTTGCAGTGCTGGACTGGGAAAACACAACTTCTTGGATATGAAGCACCCACCCATAACATCCCATGCACAACAAGACATCTGCAAAGCTTGCTAGTATTGCAGAAACCTATAGTCTTCCTAGCACAATTTCCAAGTACACAGAAAAACAATTCTATACAATGCATGCATTTAGACTGTTTATGATGTGAAAACTCTGAAGTTTGTACATTGCTGCACTAGGCAAGCGGAAAATTGCAACAGGGAATCAAGCTTTGAGGCTCATTTAATTGGTTACATATGAAAAGGAGCATATTTTGGTTAAAAGCCAAGCTGTAAGGGAACATGCGCATTCATTTTCAGGATTTTAAACTGCAGTTGAGAATGCAAAAGCACCTTTTCTGCATAGTCTATGAAAATTTCAGCATCCTGCTCGGAAACACAAGTTTTAAACAGTTCTACAGGTGAGAAAACACACCACCTTCCAATACCAGTTATGGAGAAAAAGACATAAGTTTAGGAAATGAGCTAGGTAACAAAGAGTCCTTTCAACTACTACTGGAACAAGCTTCTGGGCTTGCACTAGGGTTTGAAAAGGATAGGGCAGTCTTTCTGTACTGCTTAAAACCTTCCCGTTTCGGTTTCCAAGTGTTGACAGTGATCTTGCTGTTCTGCTACTGCGTAACGGACTGAAGATGGATGGACTTCAGTTGAACAGATTGTGCAATTAAGTAGGGATCCTCCCAATATAAGACAAAATCCAGCAAGCCAGCCAACAAATAACGCTTCCCCAAAATCCCACCTGGGAACAATATCTGGTATATTCTCATCCCAAAATTCCTGGACTGTGGAATGGGCAACCCAAGAAACTGGGACAATAGCTGTAATCCCCGATATCCAGAAGAGCATTCCTCCAAACAGCAACAGCCGTTTCTTTTGTTCCTGTTGTCTTTCACCAATTTTCAAACAGTCCAACCCAAAGCCTGAGAGCAAGAGGCCCAAAAGCCCCAATCCATTGGAAAAAAACATCAAAATCCTAGAAATCCTGAGCTCTGGAGGCAAAGCTAGGAAAGAATCAAAGTCCTTGCATTGCATTCCCCCTTCTTCCTGGACAACACAAGCTTGCCAGAGTCCCATGGTCCAGATCTCCAGTTCATTCAGTTCCAAGTTAAGATTCTTCCACTGGGGTAAATAGGTAGTGAGACAGGACAGGACCCATCCCAACAGAGAGAATAGTATGCCACTTAATTGCATCGTTAGTCGATAGACCAAGGCCATTACAAGAGCAGAGTCCTAAAAGCTTGAGGAGGAAGGTCTCCCCAGCAGTTCTGTAACCACTGCTACCTTGAGTGATGGTGGAAGCTATGATGATTTTAATTCTCTGCTGCCCCAAATATAAGCCCTTGCTATTAACCCTTTGTAAGCTCTGAAACACTTTTTTGTTCTTCACGAATATAAAGTTTCACATAAAGGATGAAGGACTTCACTAAACCATGAGTTAGGCTTTCTGATAAGGATTTGATCTGTTACCTTCCAATTTGCTTGGTAAAATTATATCCCAATGCCTGATGATTACAAGCCTGAGGATGAACAAAGAAGGCTCTATGACCCCTCACCCTAAAACACAACAGAAATCTTTGTGCTTCAATACGGATTAATTAGATTTTAAGTGGTGATAAAAAGTCAGCTCTGTGTGCAACAGGACTTCATTGTAATAGCTAAATTTGAGATTTCAGGGATGTAAATCAAGGCTGTGTAAAGAAAGGTAGACTGTTTGCCT